ATCCCTGACTGGCCTCAACAGGCCCCCCGAGTAGTCCCAGCTGGCCTCAACAGGACCCCCCGAGTAGTCGGCGGCGGTCTGCTCTCAGGAGGCCTGCTGAGGCCAGCTGGGACTACCTGGGGGGCTGCCTGCGCGCAACCCGAAGCCTTACCATGCTGAAACGAACAGGGGTTGCCTGCCCACAGAAATCCACAAGTTAGCTGGATAAGCTCGCCCAGTGATGAACCTCATCAGGGCCACATCTCCTCAGTTGGCGAAGCCGTGTCCCCAGACCCTAATTTTTTTCTCGCGAGAGTTGCTATCTTATGCTAGTCACTGTCCCTGCGCCTCCCTCTTGGAGGCCCATCTCCTGGCCTTGGACTAGGGGCCGCAAGACCAACGGACATCTCGTTGGGCCAAGGCCGCCGACTTGGCCGCCGACATGAAGACCCTTTCGTTGTTCTTGCATGGCGCAAGATGGCTCCCCGAACATTGCTTGCAATCAGGAGTTGCTGCTCGGAACTGGCACTGACCGCCGCGGCCGACCACTGGTGGTGCGCTTGATGCTATGTGGAGGGCGTTTCATCTTTTCTCCGGAAGTTGTTCGAGCCTCTCGGTGTAATCTTTCAGGGAAGCTTTAAGTCGGGCCTGTCCCTCTACAGGGGGAATGTTCAAAAATAGTTAAAAAGATAGTCAGGGGATCACGTTTTGTTTATGTTTTGACCATTTTGAAATATTTGTTGAGTATGTTTTATTTTTCGTCGAAAATCCCCTTGTAGGGGGACGCGCCCGACTTAAGGGAAGCTGGAAAAAGTGGACCGGGCTAGCCCTTCCACGCTTTCCTGCCCCAGCCAGCTTCCCTCCAGCTTTCCCAGCCCTGGCGAACTCATCCCAACTGTTGCGGGCTCGTCTCCGCAGCTCCCCGAGATCCAAGATGACGAATAAAATGAAACATGGTAAGAAATCACGACCAGAACCCTGGACATCATCTCTTTGTTGTTTTCTTCGAGACAAATCGATCCGTTTTTTGTCCCAGGGCCCGAAGCCTGGCAGAATTGCCCGTTGTGACGACGTGCGAGGCCACGACTGCAGGGTCCGGGGAAGCGGTCGCGACCTCCAGGGCCGCGGATGGAAGCATCAGATTGTGGAGGATGTCGGGCATTTGATGTCTTGAAGTTTTTTGGAGCCCCTCGGTGTAATCTTAAGTCGGGCCTGTCCCTCTACAGGAGGAAAATTCCAAAGCAGTCCAAAAATAGTCTGGGGACGATGTTTTGAAGATTGGTCGTCTTTTTGGATTTCCTTTGTTGTCCAAAATCCGCCTGTAGGAGGGCACGCCCGACTTGAGAATCTCAGCCTCCCCGTCGACCGGCAGGTGCTCCGCTGCGGACAGTGGGCCGCGCTGGCAGAGGTGGACCTCCTCCCGGGCGACGTGGTGCGTCTCACTGCGGGCCGCAAGGCGCCCTGCGACGCCGTCCTGGTGGATGGCCGCGTGGTCTGCGGGGCCGCGAAACTCGGAGCTAACTGGGGAGCTGAGGTTGGCCAGCACTGTTTCTGGCCAGCAGGGGGGGTGGGGGGGGGAAAGGGCCCTTGTCGTCACCACGCGGCTGGACGCGGCTCGGCAAGTGGGGCCCCAGGAGGAGTTTTGGGGAACGATTTTGATTGGACTCGCCCTCATCCCCCCTCCTGGTCGGCTTTCTCGGAGCCCGTTTCTTTATTGCTTGGGGCATGACGGGCGACATGGCCCCCGCTCCCCCTCCCCCCCTATGACGTAACGCTCCCCCACAGTGAGTTCCGGACACTGCCGCCGTGCGTTTTGGGATCCGCGTAGGAATCCGCAGAGGAGTCTGGTCCGCAGTCGTCGTCGTCGTCGTCGTCGTCGTCGTCGTCGTCGTCGTCGTCGTCGCTGTGGCTTGTCGCTCGTCGCTCATAGTCGTCGTGCCCGCGGACGCGGCTGAAGCCTGTTCCTTCATCCCGGGCCGATGACGGCAATCATCTAGGGGGGGGGGATGGGGTCGATGCCGTCACGTTTCGCGCCGGCGGCGTCTGGGAATGTCTAGGAATAACGGAGGACGGGTAGCGCCAGCATGTAGGTGGGGATTTGCACCACAACGCCTGTGTACACCACAGTGCCTGCGTGCACCACCGCGCCTGTGTACACCACGCCGCCCATGTGCACCACAGCAGCCGCGTGCGACACAGCGTCAGGTTGTGCCACCGTGCCTGCGGGCACAAGAGCTCCCGTGCACACCACAGCGCTTGCGTACACCACATCAGCCGTGCGCAACACAGCACCAGTGTACACCACAATGCCTGCGTGCATTGCAGTGCCTGTGTACACCACGGCGCCTGTGTGCACCACAGCAACCGTGTGCAACATAGCACCACTGTTGCATATAGAATGTAATAACGAATCCTTATGACAAAATAGAGCGCTTGTGGATTCCACTGAAAGCATCCACAGAAAACAATCGTACATGATATTTATGGACACCGGAGCGCCGCTGGAATCTACAAGTCCTCCCGAGTCCGCCCGCATCACCCTAACTCTTCCCATTTGCGTTCAGGAGTCTCGAGCTAAATTGGCCATGCGAGAACCAAATGGACCGATTCAATCAACCATTCTGCGGTGCGCGCTGAGACGCGCACGTGTGCTGCAGCGCCAACCCGCACGACAGGGGGTAACGAGGAGGAAGAGGAGGAGGTGGTGGAGGTGGAGGAGAGGGGAGAGGGGAAGAACGTCGCATTCGATTATCAACACTTTCTTGGCGTGGCGTCCAGTTGTCCGCAGCAAATCCTCACGTACATGCTCCTTCTACTTGTCATATGCACGCAGTCGTTGTGGTGTACACCAACGCTGCGTTGCACGCGGATGCTGTGGTGTGGACACGCGCTCTGGCGCGCACAGGCGCTGAGGTGCACGCAAGCATTGCGGTGTACGCAGGCGGTGTGTTGCACATGGTAGCTGCGGTGTGCACATGTACACGGGCGCTGTAGTGTACGCAAGCACTGTGGTGAACACAGGCGCTGCGTTGCACACGGCTGTTGCGGTGTACGCAAGCGCTGTGGTATACAAGCGCGCTGTGGTGCACGCGAGCGATGTGGTGTACACTGGCGCAGTGGGACAGATCGCCACCTACATGCTGCTCGCGTCGTCGTCGTCGCTCGTCGCTCGTCGCTCGTCGCTAGTCGCGTCGCGCGCGCGGGCGCGGCTGCGGTGCCGGAGTCACACGGCGGGGGGGGCGTTACGTCATACCCCCCGTTCGCCCCCCCCCCACCCCCCCCCCATGACGCCCGTCATCGCCGAATATAAAGAAACGCACTCTCGGAGTCCAGCCAGCGCAGACCCCATTGGCCGCCTCCACCGCGAAGCAATTCCATGCCGGGGACATGCACCCACACCCACCCACCTGGACACCCAGACGCGCTCGCGTCGCAGGCAGCTCATGGCGGAAGGTGTTTGGCCGTGTTCGGCCTCCGGGGGGTGGGAGGGGGGCCCACGCCCTGAAGCTGCTCCCAGACTGTCCAACAACCACGGCTGGGGATGCGGAAGCGGCCCTGGGGAACGGGTCGGTCGGAATCTCTTGGGACCCGTGCTCTGAGAATCAAGACGCTGGTCCTCCGACGCCGGGGACCTCCTGGAGCGTTGGAGGTCGACGCGTGCCCCGCCCCGCGGGTCCAGGCCGCCCAGGCGGTGGCCAGAGCGCCAGGAGCTCAAGAAACGAGGCTTCACAGATGGGGCCCGAGCGCGCACACGGGGTCGGAGGGCGGCGCCGCCTCGCCGAGGCATCGCCGAGGCGGCTCGGCTTGGACCTCGAAGTTTGCCCTGCTGACGTCGGCGAGGCATCGCCGGTCCAGACCTGGTCCCAAGTGTCCTCCAGGTTCAGTCAAAATCAAGCCCAAATCGAAGAGCGCGGGGGTCAAACAGTGGCGAAGAGTCCTGGCTCGCCTGTAGCCCTACCAAACCATGTTCTAAGAACCTTGTGTGGTTTCCACGAAATGTTCTTAGAACATTTCTGGCGGAGTCTGTCTTGTTTTATCACATCGGGTTTATGTTCTAAGAAGATTATTTGTGTTCTTAGAACATTTGTAGGTTCTAAGAACATTTCGTGGTAGGACTATAGGAATGCCGGGACGGTCGGTCTCTGCTCAAGGGGGGGCATGCAGGACCCACGGAACGGACACCAGACGTGTTGCCACTCCTCTGCTCCTCGCACGACCGTCTATTGCACCCAGCTTGCCGCAGGCAACACAAGTCTTCTGCGAATGCCAGAGGGGAACATAATTTGACACACATGTTCAAAGCTCCGAGCTGATTTCTCGGATCTGCGCTGGGCCCCCTGGCGGCGCCTCCAGCGCCGCCCTTCGCGCGCTCCGCTCGCCAGGAAGGGTTCTCCAGCGTAGATCCGAGGCATCCGCGCGGACCGTCGAAAGTTTATATCCTTGCAGCACTTTGCTCATCTACGTCAGGCCGACCGGTTGTACCCCACTCGCCGCAGACCCCAAACATGTTGTTTTGCTAATGGGGGTTTTGTCCATCCCCAATCCTCCATGGCAAGGTTGTCAACGAGGCGACGCTGACAGGCGAGTCCTTCCCGGTGGCCAAGGCCGCGGCGCCACAGCTGTTCCGGGAGCTGTCGCAAGCGGCCGACGCCCGTTACTGCGTGTACGCGGGCACGGACATCCTCACGACCCAGGGGGACGCGGTTGTCAGGAGGGCACTGAGATGACCGCGGGTGTTGTTGATGGGATAGTTATGTTATGGCTAAACCTCGCTTATGAGTGGGGGTTGCAACTGCCCCAAATGCCTTTGGGGGGCTAGCGATCTCGGGTTGCACGGCGGGCTCTGCCGCCGTGGAAGAAACCTCGTGCAACCGGCAGGGCCACGCTCTGCAAGATGTTCCCCCTCCATGGCTGCCTGAGCCACGCGAGCGTGTCCCCCGTCGTTCCCGCGGCGTCGCAAAGTGCAACAACAAAAAAGGGATGCGCCTTGAGAGGTCAAAGGGGCGTTCCAGAAACCATCCCCCCCTCGAGTCGCGAAGAAGACCCGAGGGACGTTTTTTCGCTATTTTCGGCCCCCCGGGGGGTCGTGATCATCAACAAAAACGACTCGGGACGAAAATCTGGTTCTGGGAAGTGGGTCGAGCTCTCTTCGAGGTCGACGGTAATGGAGGATGACGATTAATGAATGACCGGGGGTCGTGTTCACGCGGCGGCGCCCGGGTTGACGATTAGAAAAAATTGGCCGCGGGCTGGAAGACTATGTTTTTGATCGTTCTCCTCCAGTCAGAAAATTGTGCAGAAATAGCAGAAAAACTATGTTTTTAATCGTTATCTCCCATTTGTTGACTAATCGTCATCCCGCATTATGAACAGAGTCATGACGTCTGGGGTCCCGGGACGGGCCTCGCCTTCGGCTCATCTCGCTTTCGGCGGAAGGCCAGCGGAAGGTGGCGGAAGTAAAGCAGCGGCGGGTCCGTCGGCGGAAGGTCGGCGGGAGGCGGCGGAAGCAAACAGCGAGCCGTCGACATACAGTCGGGGCCCTGAAGAAGGAACCCTTTTCGTTGGGGAGGGGCTCGGTGTTCCTTGATTGTTCTACAGTTTGCCTTCGGTTTTCCTGAGGTTTTCCATGGGAAATCGAAGTTCAACTTCTGGGAGAAAGGGGCCCCGTTCCTTATTTAGGGTTCCTTAGGTCAACGCCCCGACTGTAAAGCAGCGGCGGGTCCGTCGGCGGAAGGTCGGCGGGGGGCGGCGGGAGCAAACAGCGAGCCGTCGACATACTATGCTTGGGGTCGGGGCTGCCGGAATCGGCCATGTGCCTGCACCATCTGGGCGCCCGCGGCCTGGATGAAAAGTCGGGCCTAAAATATTCCGGGCACGAATTTTGCATTTTTCACTATTTTGGGATATTGTTGTGATACTTTTATTTTCTCCCAACATCCGCCTGTAGGGGGGACACTCCCGACCCAAGACTGGGTTGAGCCGATTGCCCGCCGCGATGTCCGACGAGCACCGTTGGACACTTGTTTTGTTTCAGGGGGGTCGCTCACAGGTGCGCGACCTCCATCGCTGGCCTGACTGTTGCCCCCTCGTGCAGGCCCTCCTGGGATCGCTGGCAAACAAAGAATCGGCCATCGGCTGCGTGCTTCTGCTCTTGCCGTCCAGGTTGGCGTGGTGCTGCGGACGGGGTTCCAGACGAAGCAGGGCGCGCTCGTGCGGAGGGCCCTGCAGTCCCAGGACGCGCTCCGGGACGCGGACACCCTGAAGGCCGTGGTCTTGCTGCTCGGTTTCGCGCTCGTGGCGGCGGGCTACGTCGCCGCCAACGCGAGGGTCAGGGAGAGGCTCTGGGTGAAGGTCTGGGCGTAGAGAGCACTGCGATACCTCCTCGCGTCGTGGACAAATCGCGAGAGGCGTTTTCTTCTTGTCGGCCTCTGGGGGCCCTGGCCAGGACGTTGGACCGTCGAAGAACGACTCGGGATGTAACACTGGTCGGGGTCCGCGTTGTGAAAAGTCATGGCGTCGGGGGCCTGGGTACAGTGGAGACCCATGCCAAGAAACACCCTGCTTGCCTCCATGATGCACTGAGTTTCCTGGGTTTCGATGGTTTTCCTATGGAAGGCGTTGCGCTCCCACACCAACAAACAAGGGACGTCATTGGGTCTCAGGGTTGGGTTTCTTGTGGAAGGTTTGTTGTGGGCTGGCCTCCAGTGTTACACATCACAGGCACCGATCTCGATCGGGCCCCTCCTGAGATCAGGATGCGCCTGGGCGGACCGCGTTGTGAAAAATCGTGGCGTCGGGGGGCCCGGGCGCACATCACATGCACCGATCTCGATTGGGCCCCTCCTGGGACCAGGGTGCGCCTGGGCAGGAGCGGTGCACCTGCGCGAGAAGGCACCCAGCGCTCCGGGTGGCTCGACGCGGGGCCCCAGGGACTCCATTTCTTCCTCCTCCTCCTCCTCCTCCTTGGACGCATAAGGTACTGGCGCTCCTCCTCAAAAAAAAATGCACGCATGAGGTACTGGCGCTCCTCCTCCTCCTTCTCCTCCTCGTCCTCTCTTCCTAACCTTCCATGTCGCGCATTGCATGCACCCAGACAAGCCAGATTCTCGAGACGGCCTCGCTCACCTGCTCAATGGCATTGCTCGGACGTGTGGTTTTCTTTCCTCGGCGAGGACCGTCGAGGAGCATCCTGGATCACCTTGCGAGAAATGGACGCACGAAGCCGAGAAATGCACCAGGAATGGATGTCCGAGCGATGGCAAGGCTCTGAACTAGGCCTGGACATTGTCCGCAACGCTGGTCGCATCGCATCGCATTCACCTCGGGCCGGTGTGTCATCCTGGGTAGTTTTGTTTGTTGACCGAGGGCCAGAATACGGCCCCCAGAGGCCAGACAGCGTGTGAAAATTTGGCCGCTCCGACTTGTGCGAGGCGCTGGGTGTGTCAGTATTTCCGGGAAACGCAGACATCCGACGATGTAGTTTTTCAATGCGCGTCCCCAGAGGTCCCGACGTCTTCCCCGGGGATAGCTGTTTTATTGTGACGACGGCATGGGAGTGATGAGTAACCACAGAACGGAACTGGTCTGCGGCGGATGGAAGCTCCCACGAGTGGGGGCATACGTCACACTGCGCAGCACTGACGCCCCGAAACGGCGAGCGAAAGCGTGAATGTCACGTGAATGTTCTGTAGTCTCCCTTTTGTTGGCCACAAGAGATCCGCACGAAACTCCCTCCGAAGTCTTGAACCAAACATTCCGGGACCATTTGGGCCCATCCCATTGTCTTCCGAGCGACATCCGCTCTGCGATGTTGGCGCCATGAGGTCTCGGGACCGCCCCATGGGGGGCCGTCTTGATGCCGTGAGAGGCTCGCTGCCGTACAGTCGGGGCGCTGAAGAAGGAACCCTTTTCATTGGGGATGGGCTCCGTGTTCCTTAACTGTTTCGCAGCTTGCCTCAGGTTGTCCTTAGGTCTTCGATGTGACATCGAAGTTTAACTTATGGAAAATAGGGGCCTCGTTCCTTACTCCGTGTTCCATCATAAAGGCGTGGGGGTCACATTTGGGGGGGTCTGATCTGAGCTGCCTCGGAGGGTTGGTGGGGGGGGTCTGGGCAGAGGGCCGCCCTCTCATGGATGGTCTGGGGGGCTCTAAGACTTCTCGTCTGGGAGGGTTGGGACCCCCTCCCTGTTATTACGAAACCTGGAGTATTCAGGGTTCCTTAGGTCAACGCCCCGACTGCAGCGCCCCCTCCCCGGTCCGGGCGGCAGTCGCCCAGGGAGAGCGGCACCGTGCGCGGCAGCGGTGCGGCGGCCGCTCGGGCGGTCCAAGCGCGCACGCGCGGGGGGCCCTGGCTCCTCCTCCCCCTCCCCCTGCTCCTCCCCCTGCTCCTCCCCCTCCTCCTCCTCCTCCTCCTCCACCTCCTTTTCCTCCTCCCCCTCCTCCTCCTCCTCCACCTCCTCCTCCTCCTCCTCCTCCTCCTCCTCCTCCTCCTCCTCCTCCTCCTCTTATTCGCACCCTGCCTGGCTGCCTGGCCCGCTCTCGTGTCATCGGCTGCACGCAGCGAGCGGCCCCAGGAAAGAGTGGCCGACCCTAACTTTAAGTCGGGCATGTCCTTCTTCAGGAGGGATATGCAATAGTACACCAGAGAAACACCCCAATCAGCGGATGGTTTGAAGATATCGATGGTGAGATCGATCGATTGAGGTGATTAGGGAGATCGATCATGCGATCGAGAATGCATTGTGGGATCCATTAAGTGATCGATAAGGAGATCGACCGGGAACCCGGGAACCCGGAACCCACCGAAATCGGCCCGCAACCAATGACCAGGATCTTGGGAACCCAGAACTGGCAACCCGCTACCAAAATCAGCGGGATCTTTTCGCCAAATCTTTCAATATCCGCTAGGACCCATTCAGTGCAAGCACTGATTGGGGAATAGTAAGAAAATAGTATGGGGACGATTTTTCTATTATTTTCGATTCTGTTTGATGAATTCTGTTTTTTTCACATCCAAAATCCACCTGAGGACTTGCCCGACCTTACCCTAGCTTTCCCTGGAGTGGTCCCGAGACCTCATGGCGCCAACATCGCAGAGCGGATGTCGCTCGGAAGACGATGGGATGGGCCTGGATGGTCCCGGCGAGTTTCGCTTAAGATTTCTGAGGGAGTTCCTCGCGGAGTTTTTGTGGCCAGGAGAATGAAGACTACAACAATCCACGTGAAACTCACGTCGTTTTTCGCTCGCTGTTTCGGGATTTTGCATTGACAGAAATCCAAGCACAAATCCGCTTCAGCACGTCTGCAAGGTCGGTGCAATGAGAGATCCCTTCCTTCCCTCCTCACGTTTTCCACCTTACCAGGCCGTCGATATTCCGAACATGTGGTTCCGAGAACCCCCCCTAAGGGTCCTCAATTAGTGTGGGGGGTGGAGAACAGCAGTTGGGAGACTCTATTCGGAGCTTCCAGCGCACACGTAAGAAGTCCCGCGTGCCCGAGTGCCTGCCGCGGGACGGTCGCCGAGGTCGGGGGAGGAGCAAGAGAGGACCTCTCGAAGTGGAGCGGCAGGGAGGGGGAGGGGGAGGAGCCCCGACGCAGCGGATATGTCGTGAGACGGGGGCCCGGAAGCGGGCCCCAGAGAGGCCGACATCGAGGGGATGCGCCCGCACGCATCGAGAAACTCGTGTGCTCGGAGATCCTCCTCGTCTTCCTGGTCCTCCTCCTCGCCCTGCTCCTCGTCCTGCTCCTCGTCCTGCTCCTCCTCCTCCTCCTCCTCCTCCTCCTCCTCCTCCTCCTTCTCCTCGTCCTGCTCCTCCTTCTCCTCCTTCTCCTCCTCCTCCTCCTCCTCCTCCTCCTCGTCCTGCTCCTCCTTCTCCTCCTTCTCATCCTCCTCCTCGTCCTCCTCGTCCTCCTCCTCCTCCTCGAAGGTGGGGATCGTCCTGGGCTACGTCGTGCAGCCGACGCTGCCGCTGCTGATGACGTACGCGGTGCAGCGGACGGTGCAGACCCTGCGCACGAAAGACGTCGGCTGCGCGGAGCCGCTCCGGGTGCTCGCGGCGGGGGCCACCTCGCATTGCCTCTTCGACAAGACGGGCACGCTCACCGAGGACAGGATCAGCGCCGTCGGGGTGGTGGAGCCCGAGCAGGAGTCTCAGAGGAGGACGAAACAACGGCAAACTGTTGGCGCTCCGCGCGGATTTCTTGGATCTGCGCTGGGCCCCCATTACGGCGCCTCTGGCGCCGCCCCGGGCGCGCTCCGCGCGCCGGGGAGGGGGTCCAGCGCGGATCCAAGAATTCGCGGACCTCCAAAAGTTGATGTTTATGTGGTTCATCGCTCCCTTACTTAAAGGACCAGTAACCCTAAGCACACAGTGAAGACGCGGTTTCGCTGAGGTCCCCGTCTTCGCATGAGGGATCATCGATCTTGGCGGTGTGGCCTGATACATCTGCAGGAATGACCCTCTAATCCCTAATGTTCCTGGCCCTCCTAAGTTAGGTCTCCCCAAAAGGGTTAGGGGTTCTTGATTGGTTAATTAGCAACGATGCCGCAGAGATGCTGATACCGCTGCCCCTGCCTCGTGCTCGCCTTGTCGGGCCTCCCGGGAGGCCCTCGTCGCCACGGCTTGGCTTCGCATCTAAAGTCTGGTCAGAATGCACGCCTGGAGAGGTCGGGGGAGTAGTGGTATCGGTTTCGAGCAGGACCTTGACATGTTGAAACGATCAGGACGGGAGGTTATTGTCATTGTTCGGCCTCTGGGGGCCCTCGCTGGGCCCCATGACCGTCAGAAACGGCTCAGGATGAAAAGCCACTCCTGGAGAACGAGTCGGGGCTTCCTGGGACCCCGTATTAGATTATCCCGGCAAAGCAGCCTAACAGCGATGTGTATAAGCATATTTGGAAGCATTCCCCCGAAGATTCAGGTGAGAATCCAGTTGTAGCATTCTGCTGTTCTCGCAATCGCAGTCGCATTCGCAATGACAGTCGCAGTGGCAACGGCCCTAGGATCCAATGGAATCCTAAGGACTCCTAGGGATTCTAAGGCATCCTTAGGCATCCGTAGGAATCCATAGGAAACCTTAGGAATCCTCAGGAATCCTCATTCCTAGGGGTCCTTAGGGATTCCTAAGGATTCCTAGGGAATCCTAAGGATTCCGAAGGATTCGCCTGCCTCGGCCTCAGCCTCAGCCTGCCTCAGCCTCAGCTTGCCTCAGCCTCAGCCTCAGCCTGTCTCAGCCTCAGCCTGCCTCAGCATCAGCCTCAGCCTCAGCCTCAGCCTGCCTCGGCTTGCCTCGGCCTCAGCCTCAGCCTGCCTCGGCCTCAGCCTCAACCTCAGCCTGCCTCAGCCTCAGCCTCAGCCTGCCTCAGCCTCAGCCTGCATCAGGCTCAGCCTCAGCCTGCCTCAGCCGCAGCTTGCCTCAGCCTCGGCCACAGCCTCAGCCTCAGCCTCAGCCTCAGCCTGCCTCAGCTTCAGCCTCAGCCTCAGCCTGCCTCGGCTTGCCTCAGCCTCAGCCTGCCTCTCCTCAGCCTCAGCCTCAGCCTGCCTCAGCCTCAGCGTCAGCCTCAGCCTCAGCCTTCAGCCTCAGCCTCAGCCTCAGCCTGCCTCAGCCTCAGCCTGCATCAGCGCCTCAGCCTGTTCCTCAGCCTGCATTAGCCTCAGCCTGCCTCAGCTTCACCTCAGCCTCAGCCTGCCTCGGCTTGCCTCAGCCTCAGCCTGCCTCGGCCTCAGCCTCAGCCTCAGCCTGCCTCAGCCTCAGCGTCAGCCTCTCAGCCTCAGCCTGCATCAGACTCAGCCTCAGCCTCAGCCTGCCTCAGCCTCAGTCTCAGCCTGCCTCATCCTCAGCCTGGCTCAGCGCACCCGCCCCCCAGTCGCCCAGGCATCGCCCGAGCTGGTCCCCCCGCTGGAGCCGTCGTGCCCCCTCGACCAGCTCCCCTCTCCTCCTCCTGCCTCCCCTGCTGGTCCCCCCTGGAGCCAGTCCCCAACTGCCGTGCCCCCTCGACCAGCTCCCCGCTGCTCCTCCTCCGGCCCCCCCTGTCTCGAGGACTCGGGGGCGTCGTGAACACATCGGCCTTTTCGGAGGTCCGCGACGTTTCTTGGGGTCGGGGATGGGCCCCTCTGGGGTTTCGGGAGGCTTCTCTCTGCTCTCCGGATTTTGAAGACATCGGGACCTCCGCGGGGTCCTCGGAATCTCTTTGGGTCATCTTGGGGCCGTCTTGGACCGTCTTGGGGGCTTCTTGGTAGGCGCCTCCTGTGGAAGTCTTGGGGCCCTCTGAAGCCTTTTTGGAGCCGTCCTGGGCCAAGCATCTTGGAAAGCAGCCGACACATTCTGCCAGCGCGTGGATCCAACGAGGTGGACTCGTGCAACATCGCTGGAGCTTGTGTGCGTGCGTTGCTCCCCTTACGACCCCTTTGTGTTCCAAGGGCTCAGTCTGCGTGGACTCAGTCTGCGTGGAACCCTTTGTGTGTGAAACCCTGGATGTGCGTGACCCTATACGTGTTTGTGTGTGTGTGTGTGTGTGTGTGTGTGTGTGTGTGTGTGTGTGTGTGTGTGTGTGTGTGTGTGTGTGTGTGTGTGTGTGTGTGTGTGTGTGTCTGTGTGTGTGTGTGCATGTACGTGTGTCTGTGTGTGTCTGGAACCCGATCTGCGAGAGAGCAATTTCCACGGCCACTGGCTTGGACACTACACTTCGGGTGCCTCGGCCTCAGCCTCAGTCTGCCTCAGCCTCAGCCTGCCTCAGCCTCAGCCTCAGCCTGTCTCAGCCTCAGCCTGCCTCAGCATCAGCCTCAGCCTCAGCCTGCCTGCCGCGGCTTGCCTCGGCCTCAGCCTCAGCCTCAGCCTCAGCCTCAGCCTCAGCCTGCCTCAGCCTCAGCCTGCATCAGCCTCAGCCTCAGCCTGCCTCAGCCGCAGCTTGCCTCAGCCTCAGCCACTGCCTCAGCCTCAGCCTCAGCCTGCCTCAGCGTCAGCCTCAGCCTCAGCCTGCCTCGGCTTGCCTCAGCCTCCAGCCTCAGCCTGCCTCGGCCTCAGCCTCAGCCTCAGCCTGCTTCAGCCTTAACGTCAGCCTCTCAGCCTCAACCTGCATCAGCCTCAGCCTCAGCCTCAGCCTGCCTCAGCCTCAGTCTCAGCCTGCCTCGGCCTCAGCCTGCCTCAGCCTCAACTTCAGCCTGCCTCGGCCTCAGCCTGCGTCAGCCTCAGCCTCAGCCTCAGCCTCCCTCAGCCTCAGCCTGCCTCAGCCTCAGCCTCAGCCTGCCTCGGCGTGCCTCAGCCTCAGCCTCAGCCTGCCTCGGCCTCAGCCAGCCTCGGCCTCAGCCTGCCTCAGCTCGGGCACTCAACATATTGCACAGGACTGGTGTTCTGGGAACACGAAGATCACGAAGTGGCCCACTGTTGGCTCTGGGCAATCAAAATATGGTACAGGAATGGTGTTCTGGGAAGACGAAGAACACGAAGTGACCTACAGATGGCTCCGGGCATTAAAAATGTGGCCTGGGAATGGTGTTCTGGGAAGACGAAGAGCATGAAGTGGCCTACAGTTGGCTCCGGGCATTCAAAATGTTGCCTGGGAATTTTGTTTTGGGAAGGCGAAGAACACGAAGTGGCCCACTGTTGGCTCCGGGCATTCAAAATGTGGCCTGGGAATGGTGTTCTGGGAAGGCGAAGAACACGAAGTGGCCTACAGTTGGCTCCGGGCATTCAAAATGCGGCCTGGGAATGGTGTTCTGGGAACACGAAGAACACGAAGTGGCCTACTGTTGGCTCTGGGCATTCAAAATGTTATGGGAACACGAAGAAACCGAAGTGGCTTACAGTTGGCTCCGGGCATTCAAAATGTGTCCTGGGAATGGTGTTCTGGGAACACGAAGAACGCGATGTGGCCTACAGTTGGCTTCGGGCATTCTGGGAACACGAAGAACACGAAGTGGCTTACAGTTGGCTCGGGGCATTCAAAATGTGGCCTGGGAATGGTGTTCTGGGAATGGATTCCCAAGGATTCTTAAAATTGTCAAGGATTCCTAAAGATTTTTGGGGCTGCCGGATCTGCCGGATCCTTTGTCCGGTTCCCGCCCAGACTCCTTTGGGGCGTCAAGATGCTCTCTTAACCTATCAGCAAAAGCTGTTAGGTAAAAACATTGCATTGAAAGTTTGGGGAGGCGCTATGAAGCAAACGTCAGGATGAGCACAAGTCACCGATATGGCTGCTCGTCCTGGAGAGCCCTCGTCGCCACGGCTGGATTTTCCTTAGAGGCCTGGTCGGAGTGAGTCCCAGGAGAGGTGAGTGGAGTAGCGGTATCGGTCCTGGTTGCTTCCCTCAGTTGGGTCTTGTGGAAACGGGCATTTGTTTTGTTCCTTGTTTCCGGGCTCTCGGGGCCTTCCCCGGGCCCTGGGGCCATCAGAAAATAGCTCCGCGTGCAGCATTGGCCCGAGGACCCACGAGCGGCCAACAGGTCCGCAGCCGCGCCCTCGCAGTCCGGAATTCCGGGGGCGGGACCCCGCGGATACGCCGCCGAGCGGGTACGCGTTCCCTGGCGGGGCACCCGCGAACCGACGCCCCACATCCGCGGGGCCGCGGCCCCAGGGGCCCGGCCGGAGGAGGAGGAGGAGGAGGAGGAGGAGGAGGAGGAGGAGGGAGGAGGAGGAGGAGGGGAGAGGAGGAGAGGGAGGGGGGAGGAGGGGAAGGAGGGAGGAAGAGGAGGGGGATGAGGAGGAGGAGGAGGAGGGGGGGATGATAAGGAGGAGGGGGAGGAGGAGTTTGTGGCCCAGAGCCGCCGACGAGGCGGCGGCCGGCCCGGGCTCCGGCAAGCTCGAGCCCTGCCGGGATCCGGTTCCCTCTGGGCCCGCTCGGATCGGGGAGAAGTGCAAGGCTCGAGCGCTGTCGGCGGCTCTGGCGTGAGGCACGAGCGAAATGGGTATGGAAAGAAGGGGTACAACGCCCAACAGCAGTTCTTGTTCATGTTGAACAGGACTCGCTGTCCGCGCCGCCGCGGACGTTGTCCACTGAAGGCAAAAAGCCGCCTGCCCAACAGCGGCCGCTGTCAGTTTTGAACAACATTTGTTGTTGGGCATTCTGCCCATTTTCTCCGTACCAGTTTCGGGCGTCTAAATGAGCGCGTTTTTTTCATTTGGTTCCGACAAGTTAGCTTGCATGCGATTTCCCCCCCCCCCCCCCCTCAGTCTCCCCCCGCCCCCTTCCTCCCCCACCCCTCCCCCGCCGCCCCATGAAACAATGCTTGGCCGAATCGGCGTGCCAGCGAGTGTCGACTTGCATGAAGTCCAGAGTTTTTCAGGGCCTCCCCCCCCTCCCCCCATCCATCCAAGCAAACTCGCCACAGCCTAAAAAACAACTGCCTCTATGGATGTCGACGGTCCAGTTTTCCTGCGTTGTCGGCACCCGGATGTCGTGTCAAATCTCAGGCTATCGGAGGCCTAGGCCCTAGGCTGGCATCAAGACCAATGTCGGCGGCGTACCTCCACCGAGGGAAGGTGATCCCGATCTCGGTAATGGTGGTCATGTTCGAGCTTGCTAGGTGGCCGAAAGATTACCACCAGCACCAACATCTAGGATCATCCTCCTCCGGTGGACGCACCCCCCTGTTTTGGTGTTGGTGTCCATTTCCAAGCCTCCAAGGCTAGGGCCCGCCGTTTAGCTGACGGCACGTCAGGCAAATCCGAGTCCCCAAATTGCATTCTCCAGTCTACCCTGACAGGAGGACTTGCTGCCCATGGAGCGCTCGGCAGCCTTCCCGACGAAGGCGGTGTCCATGCCGATCCGATTGTATATCGATTCGGCCTGCCTGATCCCCGACTCGATCCCGATCGTCCAGCCAGTCGGGGCGGCCCGGTGCTTGCCTGACCTTGTTCATTTTGGCGCGGCCGCTCCGATTCGAGTCCGAGTCATGATGGGCCTGTTTCCCACCACCACCATAAGTTGGATGGGAAGGGGGTCCTCCTCCTTCTCCTCCTCCTCCTCCTCCTCCTCCGTCTCCTCATCCTCAGACTCATCCTCCACCTCCTTCCCCCCTCCAACTCATGATGGTGGTGGCGGAAAGCAGGCCCAGCAAGTCTGCTACCAGAGCTCGACCGAACAACTTCTTGCACCCTTAAAATGTTTGAGAGGCGATCCGCCCGACCCCGCGACCCCTGGCTCGACCCCGACAGTCTCCATCTACTCACGATGTGTGCCATCCGCGGCCCCAGAGTCCCCGGCCTCTTCACCGGCTCTGCGTCCCCAGAGCCCTCTGCGGTGGCCCCTGGGCCCGAGAGCCCAGAGGGCCGAGGCGGAGGAGAACACCGAGCGACGGAGCAAACATCAGGTCGTTGGAGGTCTCTCTCTCTCTGGGTAGTCGAAGGCCAGACTGTCAGACTGGATTGGGCCCCAAGGGCCAATCTGGCCTGGCCATATTGGAGGATTTGGGTTATTCGCCAGACTGGATTCGCGTTGGCTCCCTCGCCAGATTGCCCCCGTTTGCCAGATTGGCCTGCCAGATTGGCGCCAGATTGGCTTCGACTACCCAGTCTCCCTCTCTCTCTCTCTGTGGGGATGCTGGCGGCTCCTGCGCGGAGGCGATCCTGGGCCACTGCCACGACGTCGTGTTCGACGGCGCCGGCAGGCCGCTGGGCGATCCCCTGGAGGCGGGTCGGGGGCAATCGGGGGGGTGAGCACAGTCAACCCGCATGGCAGCCCCTAGCGCCTCCAGCGCCGCCCCTAGCGCGCTCCGCATGGCGGTCCGGCGGCGCCTCCAGCGCCGCCCCTAGCGCGCTCCGCGCGGCAGGGAGGGGGGGGTGCAGCGCAGATCCAAGAATCCGCGCGGAGCGCCAAAAGCTTTTGTTTATGCCACAGTCGCAGAAGTCGCCTGCACGCCACCATGCCCGGCCAAGGCCACCCCAGGCCGTTCAGAGCCCCGAATCATCAGGGGTAACTCGGGTCAGGGCTAACTCGGGTTCCTTTTTCGGGAGTCCGAACCCGAGTTACCCCGGGCCCGAGTTACCCCAGATAACTCGGGCGTCCAGAGCCCCGAATCATCAGGGGTAACTCGGGTCAGGGCTAACTCGGGTTCCTTTTTCGGGAATCCAAACCCGAGTTACCCCGGACCCGAGTTACCCTGGATAACTCGGGCGTCCAGAGCCCCGAATCATCGGGGGTAATTCGGGTCAGGGCTAACTCGGGTTCCTTTTTCGGGAATCCAAACCCGAGTTACCCCGGACCCGAGTTACCCCGGATAACTCGGGCGCCCAAAGGGTGGGGAACCTTCCCAAGGGTACCCTTGCATCCATGCGTCCTCGGTCCATCCTGAGCCACGCTCGTTGGCCGCGCCCCGCGCGAGAAGCTTCGAGATCGGCCCCCAAGGCCCTTGCATCCTCATCGCGCACACTATGCGGGTCGACCGTAGTGGGAGCCGGTGGGAGCCGGAAGGAGGCGAGTTGTTTCAATTGCCTGTGGGATCTTGGCGTTGCAGTGGTGCCGCGCCGCGGCGAAGTCCATGCTAGCCAGGACACCGTCGCGTTGTGCTCGGTTCGGCAATCCTGTTCCGCGCCGAGTGAGTCGGCAGCGAGCGTGGGGGGAAAATGAGAAGGAGAAGGCCTCCTCGGAAGGCGGCGGGACTTCTCAGAAGCCCTCGCGCCCTCTGAGAGATGTTTTGTGTCTTCCGGGACGGCTTAACAAAAAAAACTTGTCAGAAGGCCTGGGGACTTCCGAGCCTTCTGCTGAGAGGGCCTTCTCCATCTCACTTCCCCCCTGGGCTCGCCGCCGAGGAAGGGTGGTACTTGTAGTTCTACCCTGTGCGCTCGGTGCTCCCATTTTGCCGGGTCTTCCCAATTCTGGTCAGAACTCGTCCTGCGTCGGACTTGCGCGAAGGGTCGCCGTTGTTGTCGACGTTCGGAACGTCTGTTGGGCGGCCGCCGTCAGGCTAACCCTGGCGGCCTTCGTTGCCGACTTTGATTATGAAGCGAACCGTTTCGTTGGACCTTTGCGAGGCGTTGTGGGAGCCCGCCAGCCTAGAAGGGAGGCGTTTGCTTTGTTGGATCCCCAGGCAGTTGCTTTGTTGTGTTGCGCTGCTTCTATCGTTCCATCTGCTGGTGGGCCCAAGCAGCGCTCGCAAACACCCAAACCAAAACAGTTTGCGCCATGAAGAAGTTCAGCCACGAATTACGCCGACGGGGCCAGCCCAGCGGCGCCCCAGCATCAGATTGCACTCGAACGTCGCCAACGAGAGCGACGACCCGCGCAAGCCTCACGCAGGACGATGGTGGGCCAGACCTGGGGAGACTGACGAAATTGCAGCGCCCGTCGTTCAAGCCAAAACTTACAGTGGCATCCGCGCACACAGCGCGAGATATTGCAAGGAGGAGGTGGAGGAGGAGAAGGATGATGATAAGAAGGAAGAGTAGGAGGTCTGCATATGTCCCAATAGGAGTTATTTGTGTTATATATATACACGTACTGTGAAGAGAAAGGGCGCCGCGACGATGCCCTGGCCAGTCTGGACGCCGCCGCTGTGCGGCTCCCGTGCCGCACCCAGATCCCCCACATGCACTTGGAAACTTGGACAACTCGCCTTCCTCCAGCTCCCACCGGCTCTCTTGAAGCACGGGGGAGGAGGAGGAGAGTAAAGTGGAGGAGAGAGAAGGAGGAGAGAGGAGAAGGAGGAGGAGGAGGAGAGGAGGAGGGGAGGACAGGAGTATGAAGGAAGAGAAGGAGGAGGAAGGAGGGAAGAGAGAGGAGGATGAGAGGAGAGAGGAGGAGCGAAAAGAAGAAGAAGAGAAGAGAGAGAGAGAAGGAGGAGGAGGAGGTAGTGGATCAGGATGAGGAGGAGGAAGAGAGGCATAGGGGGGAGGGGACCATCGGCCCCCAGTCGCCCATTGACCGATCGCCGACAGGGGCCACGACGGCCCACCTCGCCCAGGACTCGCGGACTCGCTACATCGGGGCCTACGGCGCCGAGCTGCGGCGATGTGTCGCGGATTCCTGGCCTTATTCTCCTCCTCCCTCCTCCTCCTCATCCTCCTCCTCCTCTCCTCCGCCTCCTCCCCCGCCTCCTCCTCCTCCCCTTCCTTCTCCTCCTCCTCCTCCTCCTCCTCCGCCTCACCCCTCCGCCTCCGCCTCCTCCTCCTCCTCCTCCTCCTCCTCCTCCTCCTCCTCCTCTGCCTCCTCCGCCTCCTCCTCCTCCTCCTCCTGCTCCTCCTCCTCCTCCCCCCCGAGCTGGTCCCCTGAAGGTGGCGGCACTAGGGGGGTCACCACCAGGGGGGTCGCCAAGAACTCCCAAACCTCCTGGATGCTGATCCTCGCCCCCTCCCCAGAGCCATCCAGCGTATTGTTTGTTTTCCGTGCGCGGCCCCCAGAAATCCCGACCCCTTCCCCGAGACGGGCTGTGCATCCTGAGTAGTTGTTTGGTCGTCCCTGGGGCACGGCGGAGGTCCTTCTGATGCCGGGAGAGCGGCGCGAGAGACCTCCGAGCTGTTTTTTGTGCACTGCAGGTGGGACCCATGCCAAGAAACACCGTGCTTGCCTTCAGGGTGTCCTGGGTTTGATGGGTTTCGATGGTTTTGCCATGGGAAGCGCGACGTTCCCACACCAAAGATCAATGGACGTCCTGGGGTCTCAGGGGGGTGGGTCTCTTGCGGAAGGCTTCTTGTGGACCGACCTCCTCTGCACGTTGGGTGGTCTGGCCCCCCCTCCTCGACCCTCGACTTCCAGGTGGAGCCAGTAACCCCCCCCCGTCGGCACTGCCCTTACGTCGGGCGTGTCCCTCTACAGAAGGAATGTTCAAAAATAGTCCAAACATGGTATGGGGACGATGTTTGCACTATGTTTGGCAACTTGGGTTTTTTACTTATCGTCCAAAATCCCCCTGTGGGGGGACATGCCCGACCCAACGCTGCCCGAAAGGTGGCGGCCCTGGAGGCGATCGGCGGCCGGGCCTGCGCGGGCGCAGGCCTGCGGGTGGCGCGCTGCAGAGGGGAGGGGCTCGCGCAGGAGGTCGGCCACGCGCAGAGCCCCCTCCCTCCGCATCCCTCCTCCTCCTCCTCC